TAGGAGACCTGAAAAGAATCCTTCGCAAAGTTTTAGGACGATCATCTCTGAATCATGAAGAAATGATAACAATTTTGTGTGACTGTGAAGCAATAATGTATAATCGTCCATTGACGTATGTCTCGGAAGATGTTGAAGATTTATCTCCGATCACACCTTCCATTTTTCTCCATGAGATTCGACAAATTGGAGTTCCTGATCTGGATAATATAGATGCGAAATTTTTAAACAAAAGGCTTATTTATCGACAAAAACTTTTACAAGATTTCGAATCGAATATCTCGGACAGTTACGGCAAAACTACGAACATGTAAAAGCTTCACAACCTCTGAAAATAGGAGATCTTATTTTAGTGTCCGATGATAATAAGAAGCGAACAGACTGGTTATTGGCGAAAGTAACCGAGATTTTCAAATCTCGGGAGGGACATGTGCGTTTAGTTAAGGTCAAAACTAAGCTTGGAGAAGTTTTGAGACCAACCAAGCGTTTGTATCCTTTGGAGATAACATCATCAGAAAAACAGTCTAGATTTAGAAATGTGGGCAAGCAGCTTATCTGATGAAACAGAGACTTACTGCGATCCTGATATTCGTAATGACTTGCCTCAAGATCTTAAGAGCGAAAAGATTCCATCGATGACTACAAAAAGTGGTCGAATGGTAAAGCCTGTTCAAAGGTTACAGTTTTAAATTTGATTTTTCAGCAAATTTAAAGGTGGGAGTATGTATGAAACTCTCACCGACAACCACGTGATTTACGCATGCGCGCAGCAAAAACTAAAACAGAACTTTTTTTAACTGAACTTTGAGAACTCGTGATGGACGTTTGAGTGAAACATGTAAACTTTCTCTTCTGTGTTATATATATATTTTAGTTTAGTGATGTGATTGTAAATTAAATATCTTATTATCTTAGAAGCCTCTCTCTTTCCGTGAGTAGTGCCTTGATGAATGAAATTAAAATATTCCCGCCTATATGCCTTTGGAAAAGAAAGAAGATCGATTAAAAGGTAAGCCTTTCTACCTTTTATTTTCTAACAATGATCTTGCTATTGATCTTGAACACATTATACACATATTAACGAAGCTTAGCTTTTATTTTACATATCTAAAAGCGCAACTTAGAACACATAAGTGAAATTATTTTTGGCGCGAAGTTTTGAATTCAAACTGCTGTAAAAAAAAACTATTCACACAATTTTCTTTAAATCTGGTATTTAGGTATTACTACAGCAGTAGAATCGAAGTATGAAAAAGAATAAGACGCATTACTTCAGAAAGAATCTAATTTTACGTCAAAATACCTGCATGTAAATTCAGTCATGTTAACACAATGCCATAAATAAATCTAATTTCATCTTAAGTTGAGCTTTCAAGCCATAGGAAACAAAAGGTGAATTATGTTGATCGACCGTCTAAAATATGAGATATAAAACTACCTTTTTGCCTCTTTTTCTTTCTTTTTTTACGTGCACTTCAATCATCAGTTTCATTTATTTCGTTATTTTGGTATGATAGTTTCAATGAAAAGAAATTAGGTTTGCAATTTACAGCATATATTTCAGTTTGGGAAACACAAATTTACTCTTGCGAAGTTTTTTTACATGACCTAAATTTTTTTAACGTAACAATCTTGCCAATTTCCTGCAATAATTAGAAATGTTTCATTTTACAGGGTGTTGACATTGAATTTATTCCACATGGATAATATAGTAAAACACTGCTCATAATAATATAGTAAAACACTTCTAATTTATATGCTTTTGACATTTATACATCGTCATACGTTTCTCATTTATGCTTCTGACATTTCATCTCTGCTTTGATTCATTCCTGTTCATGTTAAAAGTAAAATATTTCATTTATACGATACGTAAATTCGGTTATACATCATTTTCACTTCTTATCCGTCAATATTTTTCCGGAGGCCAAATAGTTTCTCCGGATGTCATTTCTTTCTTTGTACAGTATATGAAGATTATATGTGGCAATACAAACAGGAAGGAAGATGAAGGATATCTCAGACTGACAGGATTTGAAATCCGGTTGATGGACGGAAGAGTATTTCGCGTAATAGGATAGAATGAACTGTGAATTCTGTCGACAATAAAAATTTGTTAATCATGGAGACTTATCATCATACTTCCGTTTTTTGTTTTTTTATAAATAGAATAAACAGTGGATTCTGTCGACAATAAAAATTTGTTAATTATGTTGCTAAAATGCGTGGAAAATGAAATGCGTTCTCATGAAAGAATATGGCAAAAATTCCAAATTGACAAAACTAGAGGTAAGTGTCTTAAAAATGAACATTCTTGTATCGACATAGAAAGTAAATGCTTCTGAACAACCTCTTCTAAACTACGTAACACAGAACGAAGTGTGACTTGAGAAAAAACACTTCAGTGAAGTTGCGTTTCAAGACAAAATCTCCAAAAGTTCAAGATATTTTTTTCTGAAGTCTTTCACTCAGTGTCTTGCATCTAATATTCCGTTAAATGAATGTGTGGTAAAAGGAAAGGAAAAACAAAACATTTTGCAAGCAAATGTGAAAGTTTTTCAACTGGATGACTACATAAATTGAAACTATAGAAGGGATTCTAATGTCTTGCTATAAAGGAAGAATCCAAAAATATCTCTTGACTGTTGAAGAGTGTTTTGAAAGTTTGTTTGAAGAAGTGGACGGAGAGCTGCGAAAGACGTTTTGAACTTTGATGAAACCCTGCTCTTCTTTCATCTATAGCGAAACCGAGGACCAAAAAATGCGCATATGACGAAGCAGTTCAAATTTCAGATGCTGCTGCACAGGAGTTTTTTTGAGAATAGTGGTACAGTATTTAATTATTGCGTAACAAATCTATGGTCATTGAACATCGCCAATGACATCAAGAACCCCCACGCCGAATTTGCCATTAGTGCTAGTAAATGGCAATACGAACAAGCAGCAAAGACCAAAAATTCTCAATAACATGCCTCACATCTCAGAGCTGCCACAGAAGACGACCTCAAACATGCAAAAACTCTCACCTGGAGACAAATATGAAATATGTCACACGCGCCGCGCTCCACAGTGTAACAGTAGGCCTAACTAAGTATGTCCAAGCATTGGAGCTACAGCCCACCAACGCCACAGTCAATAATACCAACGGATCCTGCCAACGGATAGGACTCATAACCACGACCTCAACAAAAGATTCAGTTGCGACGACAAGTCGCATTTCCTCATATCCTCTTAAAAAGTGAGGCTTGGGGCAATCTTAGTATGCGATCTCAAGGGCCAATCAAACGCTCGCCCCACGAAACAATTCAAATGTCAGAATCTACCGCACAACTATTTTGCGATGGCGATACGGTATTTACCTGGCGTATGACACATCCATGATACATTCCCAAGTTCGTTTAACGTTTCACTTCCTATCAGTGCTAACAGATGGCGGCATGAGCATACAGCAAATACCGAAAAGTTTTACCATTAAGTTTCATGGTTACTGACTGCCATACATGTAATGTTTCCAAGAACCTTAGCCCTTAAAAGTGAGCACATTAATGCAATTAAGAAAAGTAAAGATTGACTCATTATATGAGTTCAAACTACAAAAGCTAAGATGTTTTCAACAAGTGTTTAGACATTGTTGTATTATAGAAAGTAAAAATGGTTGAATAGTCGTAAATCTATGGAATGGCACAAAAAATCGTAAAATATTGATATTCAAATAAGAGAGTGATAAGAAGATAAAAACCATAAAGTACTATTAATGATTATAAATTATGCTATTAATGATTTTATAAAGGAACTATTTTAACTATTTTTAGGGAATAGTTTAATATTTTTCTCTTACACGCCGCTTTTAAGAAGTCCTTTGAAAGATGTATAAATGATATTTCACTGTATTTGGTTTTAAAATATTTTTGTTCCGTGTTTAGAAAATTAATGTTTCTCTTTTGGCCCATTGCAGTTTGATTGTTCGAGAGAAAAAGAGATTATGATTATTTATGTGCGTTATACCCAAAGGCACAAACAGCAATTTAAAATACGAAAAGCTTTCGTGAATTAGAATTCTTAAGTTTTACTCGTTGTTTCGAGCTACATCTAGGCCTCAAATAGGAGTAATTTATCATTTTCGTAACTTCAGCTCTTCTGAAAAGAAAAGGAAATTTCAGGTAGTTATAGGATAAGAATGGAAGAAAGTAATTGATAGAGATGTAGAGAAAATTTCCTTTTAAATTCAGTTTTATAATGTTTGGGGATTTAATTTTTATATTGTTTAGGGATTTTTCGCACATAACTTTGCTTAAAAAGAGATTAGCTTGACATTAGGGGTACAAAGCAAGGTATAATATATAACTATAACCATAGTGATTATGAAAGATCCGAGAAATAAATTATCAAATACTATGGAAAGAGGGATCAAAATAATTTTAAGGATTACACTCACCACACTGGAATCTAACTTCCACAGTTTTTTCAAAATATTTGTTTAATAACATCTAGCCAAATAGTTTTTAACGATTTCAGATAAAGGACTCTTTAGACTATCCAGACTCTTTTACTAATAGCATTTTCTTAGTAGAGAAAGGGTAAAAAACCCGACTCCTTAGAAATGCATAGAACTTTTCTAACATGCAACATTAAGTTGGGATTAAAATTTGATTAAAAATTCAAATTGGCATTTTTGTCTTTCATATGTTGCATTAAACTATTTTAAGAAGAGAATGAAATACAAAGGACGAATAAACTTCATGAAACCTTTATACTTCTTTTCTGCTGAAAAAGTTCATAAAACATAAAAGTACTTCGGCATTTTTTTGTACAAATACTCAAGCCTGTCCAAACTTAGATAAGTGAATCATGTATTGTTATCTTCAAGTAGAATAACAAGATTTGCAATGCATAATGTCGTTTTCCCGCCATCCAGCAATTTCCGGAGCGGATTTCCGGAAATTTTAGAGCCCCCGTAGTCCAAGTTCCGCCGTCGTACTTCCAGTTGACTAGCAATTTCATTCACTTCCATAGAATATATTCGCTTGTTTCTTTGAGATATGTCTTCAGCAGTTACAAAGTTACGTTTTTTCAAATGACATTTTCTTTGGATGCTCTGCAAGATAACGTTACGTTTGTACATGGCGTATCTATAACTGAATACTATTAAGTAATCCTGTATTAGAAAGGTGAAGGATACACCTTATTTAATTCTTATATTACAATTGTGATAACGATGGATTTATTTCGATTACACGTGGATTTATTTATAGTGCTATTATTTTTCCTCATTCGGAAAGCTTCTACAGACTTTTTTCCTGAAGATGATGATGACCGTAAGAATAATTTTATTGTTTTTAGTGTATACAACTATGAATTATTGAATAGCAATTGAATTTTAAAAAAGCATCGTAAATATGGACCTTATAGTGGTTGTTTCGTAACGATAGAATGGCTAAATATTTCTGAAGTGATTGTTTGTTGAATTCTGAGTCGATTTAAGAAATAATTTAAATAGGATAGACATACATGTCATGAAATTTTTGATCAAGTGGCGTAACATATTTTCATAAAAATATAGAAAATTTATGTTTTTACAATTACCTTCTACAAAGAAATTACAGTTAGTAATTTGTTACTTAACCTATAGAAGGTAGAAGTTTTTTTTTTTTTTTTTTTTTTTTTTTTTTTTTTAAACCAAGCTGATTTTTGTAATTCGCAAGATTGGTCCCAAAAAATTCCCATATTACATATTAAAATATTTTCAGGTTGCAATCTAGCACATCGCAATATGTACCATTAAAATTTAATATCATATGTACATAACATAGAACATATATATATTACATATAAATAACAAACATATAGAGAGATAGATAGATATGCATATATACTTTTGAAATGACCGATTTTGTGTTAGTGAGCAACACCTTTTCATAATAACGTAGATAAATGAAAGATCTTATGCACCGTCAATGGGCAAAAACATGTTATTCATTATGTGTATCGGACCAGTTTTTGTAGCTAATTGAAACCAACTCTTTGAGGCTTTTAAAATTGCGCAAATCTTAGGAACCGTATAAAACTCAGAAACCGTATAAAAAATATATTTTATGAAAATTTCCGAAGTTAGCATTTCTACGAAACAAAATCTAAAATCCATACTCACAGTTCAAGGTACATTTGGAGTTATGCGAATTTTTGTAAATCCTCTATATGGAATTTAATAGTAAACTACAGGAAAATAAAAATAAAGCTTAATTTTTTTGGAAGAGCTTCTTTTTTGTGAAATTTTTATGAGGATTGTAGTGGAAAATTTTATAAGGAATATAAGCTATCGGCTTCAGAATTTCAGCTCCTGAAAATATAAGAACGTTAAAGTTACGTCACAAGCTTCCTATGTATCCCAAGCCGGAAAGAAATGATATGCAAGATTAATTCTGTGCATGATATTTTCCCCTCCCTTGCATGTGTAATAACTGTCGTGCGGTAAAGTGCACCTTCGACAACGTCCTTCTATTGAGACTATTTAATATCGATAAATTCATCCATAATTACAATAAAATTGTAATTGAGAAACACTGACCTGTCGGGTAAAACAAGGTTAAGTGGATAAAGGTTATGGAAGTGTATATACATGTAAGTATATGCATACTAACCTTTGTTTACTGCATAAGTCGTGGCTCAAATGTAACAAATACTCTGTTTCTGAAAATAGTTTTTAGAAATAGTTTTTGAAAATAGTTTTTACCAGTTCCCTATCTGTGAAAAAAGGAATAGTTTATAAGGTATTTCTCCCGCCTTCGTGGTGTAGTGGTCAGCAAGCTGGGCCGGTTTCAGAGGTCCGTGGTTCCATTCCCGGCGAAGGTGGTTGCTAATTTTTCACCTTTTCATCTCTCTGGCTTTTCCAATTAACCTAATGTCTCTACAAATTGTCTTAAAATATACGAGTATAAATGCAATCAGTCAGTTTCTATTAACATTTTGGTGTTCAGCGGTTATTGTCTTTTAACTCTTAGTGATGGACAGTGAAATTTTTTTCCCTTGAATATAGAGTACCTTTATTACTGTATGACTGCCGTTGAAATAAAATACAATAAATAAACTGCAGTTCTTTTCCTGGCGATATAGGAAATATGTATATATTTGGTTTGAAGGGAAGGAAAAGGAATAATTATCCAGAGACTTTTTTACTATCTAGAATATTTTAATTTGTGTTTATATTTGGATCTAATATTATCTAAAAACAGTATACTATATAAACCTTGAATACAAAAGTAAGATACATGAATGCTTTATATACTAACTTTTTAAAAGAAATGTTACATTAAAGAAAATTTTTATGAAGAATGAATTGAAAGAAATTTATATAGAATACATTTTTAGAAAATATTAGATTACAAATTTACGTCAAAATTCGGAATGATCCGGATTTGAAATAACATTACTGTTAATTTAGACATTCCACATTAGAAATGAAACGCATAATTAAATGTGATAATTTTTATAGTAATGATGCAGTTTAGAATGTTGTAAAATGTGACTTTAAAATATGTCAGGGAAATATAAAATTGTAAGAACAAATCTCTAAATTTTCGATAATCTTTTAAAAATGTCAGTTTTCTATACTTTGGGCTAAATTTTTTAATATGTTATTAAACCTGTCTAGCAAATTTCCTGTCGCAGTTTTCAAAAAACACTGTTAGAATTGTTTACCTTCAGTATTCGGTTTTTAAAGAGGCATTAATTTGAGTACTTTAAATGCATTCTGAGTTTCGTATTTTCATTTGTTTAAATTTAGTTTAAGGAATGCGTAATGAAATACTTTGTATTTTTTAAAATAGTTTGTTGCTAATTTTCATACATAGGTTACATTTGTTTGTTATGTTATTAAAATTCTTTTCTAAATATTTTAAGTTTGCTACAGCAGAAAATATGAAAAAACTAATATCAATTAAATAAATAAAAACCTGTTATGGCATCAAACTAAAATAAAATTTTAATTTTGAAATAACATTATTGAAGATATCAGTTAGTTCCAAAATCACTTTCCAACTAACTTAATATGATAAAATAATAAGGAATATCAATTTATCAAGCTTAAAGGTTTTATTTGTATTTCATTTATTTAATACTTTCCCTTTAAAACTTATTTTTGAGATATTCAAATTATTTTTCTTTACAGTTCCTTATTATCCTAATGTGAAATTTCAGTATAAGGACAATAAGAAATTGTAATATAAAATAATTTTAACTATACAAACACTTCGAATAGGTTAGTTCCAAAATTACAGAAATGTAATGGAAAACTTAGTGGAATGAACTAAGAAAAGTAAAATAAAGAAATAGAATTTCTTATAGTAGTAGGAAAATTTTATATATGTATGTATCGAACTAATTTTTGTGAGGAAATCCTTCATAAAGGTATTCTTTATGAAGATAAACTTTGAGCAACGGCAAAGCGCTCGAAGATAAACTTGGAGCGCTTTGCCGTAACTAATTCTAATATTGATAACCATATCTGTAATAATAATCTTTATCTAAAAATGCTTCAGGAAATTAATATAACTAGTGACTTGTGAAAATTAAGTTAGGTATTTGATAAAAATATACCAAGGCTTTTTGTAGTAGGAATGTTTAATTTTTGGAGAATTTTCTAAGGAAACCTAATTCACAATAATGTTAGTTATCCACCACCCAAAAGAAAATTAAAAATTGAAAATAGAAAAAAAAAAATAAGATTTTACGTTATGCCCAGAGGCCGTTTTTTCATTTATACACAAATGCACGTTTCGAGAGCATTTGGACTAACGCCCTTTTGGACTAAAAATATTTAAAAACAGCATATTTTAGAATACAGTCTCGCACGGAGAGAAAAGTGTTTCATTTCGTAAAGTATTGCCCCTCCTCGGGTTGAAATCATTACGATTTTTAATGAAAAATTTGTTAACGTTTTACAAAATATGAAATAGACAATAAAAAAATTGATACTTACAATTCTGGCTTCCGTTTGCCCATATTCGGGTGGAGAAGTATGTAATTCAAAATTTGGTGGCTCTAGGTATTGTTATTTTTTTCACAATGCGAGAAACATACATACATTCATGCATTCTTCATTATTTAATTTCTTTAAATATAATACAGGGCGATAATATTTGGTGGCAACAGTTTGAAGAGAGACCCTTTTAGTGATTCGACGAAAACTGCCGAGAGACTAATAGCCCTTCTGGGCTAATGTCCCTTTGGGCTTAAGAAAAAAAAAATTAAAGAAGCACCCTACATCAGTAAAACTTATTTGATTGTGACTAAACTTGGTATGCAAATATTTTTCAATCCAACGTGGATATGATTATAAGTGGATGAAAAGCTGGAGCTACAGAGTTATGGCAACTTAGCCTTTGGATAGAATAGAAGAGGAGAAATTGCAATTCTAAGGGACAAAATCCACTCAAATCTAATTCCATCTACACACTTCGACACCACAAGACCTTTCAAATGAGTTTGCGCACGAAATGATAGGCGATCGACGATAGTTGCAGAAATGATTAAATCATGACAGAGCACAGCTTGAAGAAGTTAGAGTTTAGTCTACGAAGACAACGGAATGTGAGAGAATAGAACTCACCAAAGGGAATTTCGAGGCATTTGTTCATGCCAATTTGTTAATATTAGTGATCTGACGCGTAACGTAAACACCAACGGCCGCGAGGATCATTGATAGGCAACTCAGAAAACAGGATCTATGGCGAAAATATCCATTTCGTCCATTATTCCTCAGTCATGCTTAGCGACAGCTTTTGAAGTGATGCAGGATTCCTTCGAATTGGAATTTTATTGACTGCAGTTTGAATATCTTCAGTGATGGTATTTCTTTGAGATGAAACACGATCGCCAGTTAAGACATGTCTGGAGACGTCCAAGACAGCAGTAGGATACTGCCCGTTACACAACCCGACAAAAGAAGTTATGGTCTGGGGTATCCTTTTATTTTTGATCGTCGGACTACATTGGTTGTCATCTATTACACTCTTACAGCACCGCCGTACGTTGATGTTATTTTATGCCCGAATGGAACGCCCTTCCTTTCAAAGCATCCTACTCTCACATTTGAACAAAATAGCCTCAACAGAGCAATCAACTGTATTGCTTTTCTTCGAGCTTTTCAAACTTTTTCTTGGCTAGTGTATCGTCAGATTGTTCACCGATAGAGTTATTGATTGGCTGTTAAAGTTTAATCATTTACATGCTAGATTTCATGCGGAATTTCGTTACAATCAAATAATTCCACATTAGTAAGTCGTTGTTATTATGTTTTTTGGTTTAAAATTATATGTAG